ATTTCCTATAGCGTTATTTCTTTCCAATTTTTAGTAAGGAGTAGACAATATAGGGAAATCATTCGTTCTTTTAGTCACTTTAGCAATAATACATTACTTGGTTGATAGGTTTGTCATGATACGAATATCAGTAATAATAAAATAAGCTTACATTGAAATAAGATTGTTGTTTGAAAGGTTATGGTATGCCCCCAGATAATACAGATACATTATATTACAATCTACACGTTCTCATCCAAAAAAGTATTTCGGGCAAAAAATAACCTTAGTCACTCAAATGTGTCATCCACGATGACACGAGACGCGTTCGTCGATGAAAAATTCTGCTGCCATCCAATCTAGTTTATTATTTTTCTTTTTTTCTATATTAAGCCTATTTAGTGAACTTTTCCTTTTCTTGCAAAAAAATAAAAATAGAACTAAATGGATATTTTGTTTATTGTGCTGTTGAACAGGACAAAATATAGTAAAATACCCTAATTACGAGTAATTAATTATAAGTAGCATCTATTGTTTCAAATAAATTTTCAGGCAGGATTTTACCTTTTAATTAAATGACCATTCGCTGTGGAGATCTCTTAAAACTTCGGCTGTTTATATTAAATTAACATTCATAATGTATCAATATGAATTTACTCAAAATCTATGATAGACAATTTGTTTCGCCATTCAGGGCACGTTATTTTATATTTATATATTATCTGACATAGTGAAATAAAACTAATTGCGTTAATGCATTGAGTACATATCTTCACAAAACTACATAAGAGCTATAATCCAGTAAATTCTAATAACCGGTTTGCAAAATAATGGGCCACCGGAATTAAACCTAACATTGTAAATATCGACAAAGCATTCTAAGTGACCACTTATTTATACATGTAAGTGCCGTAGCTGTGTGAGAATAAATTAATTGTGGGCAATGCATAGGTAGGTTTATAGTCCTGTAGTTGCAGAATGACACAAAAAGGTACCTGATGTCATAGGAGGTATTGATATCGTACTTATGTAGTTTTATGACCTATTTGTATACGTAGTAGCATGAGTGTTGAGTCAAAACGTGTTTATTCTTATTCTTATTTTATTTTTAAGGGTATACTAAACCAGCAAAATCAGAGTGTATTCGCTCGTGTATATGTGAGTATGTGTATGTGTGTGTGTGTGTGTGTGTGTTATAATAAACTCCTAAACATGTGTAATTTTTACTTAAATTATTTACAAAAAATGAAAGTCTTCCAATTTTTTTTCCATTTATAATGGTCATAGAATTCAAGAAGAGCCTTTAATAAAAATAATAATAATAACGCACACAGTCTACACAGCCTCGCATTAGGGAAACCCTGTGTCGCGGGTGCCATAGACACACACATAGACAACCACAAATTACACCCAAACTCACGAGAGAAATAATTGTAGGCCATACAAATATTTCTCCCGGCCCGGGAATCGAACCCAGGACCTCTGCGTGGCAGTCCGGCATGGTAACCGTTCGACCACAGAGGCAGTTAGAGGCTTTGTATGTAAATAATCTTTATTTCATAGGTAAGCAAATTACACTTGAAATTAAACTCCCCTACTCATTCGTACGGCGGATTTCTCTGAGAAGAATCAACAAGAAACTCTAAGGGTTGCTCTTTGTAAATAAAGAATAGTAAACATTTATCATTTCCAGTAGGTATTTATTTCAAACATCATAGAAAAATACTTGATTCAATTATTTTATTCATGTCAAGTCTAGGTCCGTGCTCTTTGCCTATACCACTAATACACATGCGTGACGTAGGTATGTTCGTGTCATTCTGTACTACATTTTAATTCTAACAGTAGCAAAAATACAAAATGAAACTACTTTTCGGATCTAAATCATAAACGTTTTGGAACTCAGCGATGACCATGGGACTTGTAAAGAGCCCGAAACAATGGTTTGTTTGAAAAAACAAATCAAAGTAACAATCGCGAAAACCTAAGTTTTAGCAAAAAAGTAAAATTTACAAATGTGTAAGTTAAAATCTTCCTAGAGCTTATGTAATCCACTAAGTTCTGCAACGGAAACATCGTGTAGGTATATTCCAAGTTACCCAACATTTTCTGTCCTGTTATTTCCTACTGAATAATTCAGTTTACGTAAAGAATTCCAACAGCCTAGGCACTACCTGTTTAATGTAGTGACCTAAATAAAAGCTAGTTGAATGTTTGTACTGGTATTGATGTTTAGATAAAATATGAGGACACTTAACCTAGAGTATTTGATGAAGTGGGGTATTAAATCTTTGCATCGTACATATTCTTTACTATAAATAAGAATATAAAAGCTAGGTATGCTACTGAGAATGCATATCAAATAATGTTAGATTTTTGTTGTGCATACTGCTTAGTGTTTTAGGCAGAGGAAACAACAGTTACTTGTTATGCAAGGCTGCAAAGTTGTGGTTTGACGCAAGTGCTTGTACTGAAACCTAAGCAAGCGAAGGAAGCTTAGATTGAATGGTTCAAAAATAGATTCCTGAGCGTAGCGAGGGTTTCAAGACTCGAGACGCCTAACACCTTTGCTGCCGAGCGAAACACACAACTTTTCACCTCACTACAGCGAGGAAAATGGTAGATGATAGAAAACAATTGAACTATAAAACATCAGTTTTTTTAATTAGAAGAAAAAGTTAATCTTCGGATGCGTTCTGAATTTACAATTCATCAATTTTCATTTTTGCTTGTACTTTTATTTTGTGTGATTATTAAAATTATTTTAGTTCTTCGACGAATTAAAATAATTTAATAAACACAATTAGTTGTCATTGTCAATTCAATGTCAACAATAATAAGAATAAAATATACCAACCATAGATTTAGAATATATGATACCAACGGATTTATATTTCTATTTCTATTTTCTTAATGGGGGCCACTAGGCTTGGGCCAGTGTCAGTTTCGATTAACGTTGTCAGTTAATATTGTTCAATAACATCAACGTTTTGGTAGCAGCAAGGTATTACATAAATAAGTAATGTACGACAAATCGCGTAGTTGAACGTGCCATTATCTTTTTTTTATCGAAAGAAAAAGTTTGGTGCACCACGTGTGCCAAAAACGCTTTTGCGCGCAGATTTCTAATGAGAAAGAAAGCCTTTCCGAGCTAGTGACGTAAAAAATATGTCGACAGTTAAATTTGAAAACCCTCATAACACTTTTTTTGACACTGATCTTTTTTTCTTTCTTCAAGTGCAATATCGGGCAATTGAAGCTTGGAATATAATTTAGACCAAAGGTTCTTTATTTATCTTTATTTTGTGTCATAGAGATGGATTTGAATCTTATGTTGACACATCGCACTTAACAACTGACACAGTAATATCTCAAAAATTGCGTTATATTATATTTTACCGCAAAATTGCGTGATATTAATAATTTATTTCCAAAATTTTGCTATATTTGTGTGTCATTCGTATACGATTTAATTTCAAAATTACTGGACAACACTGTCGCTTTGAAATTAAGTCGGTAATATTAATATAACTTACAGCAATTTGGAGATAATACTATGTTAGTTGTCATGTGCAATATAAGATTTATGTCAAGATTTATGACATGACCCCGTGCAAAATAGATTAGTCTGAAATCCGACGACTTCGGCGACTCATCGGTTTGCACTATGAACGTTGGAAAAGGAGGTCCCAGGTTAGACCGATTTGTGAAATGTACATTTCTAAATTTATTCTGATCTGGGTATTCTGGAAAATGCCCCGGAGTAAAATTCGTTGCTCTGATACCTACTGGTTTGAGAATAGGTAATTAGTGTGGGAGTCACGCATATTATCATTATTATAATTTTAAAGATTTAAACATTCGCACAAAGCGTTACGCTTCCACGTTTATATGACGACCGGCTATAGAGTGGAATTCCCTGCCTGAAAACACATTCCCTGAATGCTGTAACTTGAGCCTTTTCAAGGCGAGATTGAATAGGCATTATTTAAACGTGCATACTCCATCGTCGACCTCATTGTCACTTTCTACAAGTGAGATGGAAGACAAACGCGCACTTGTCATATAAAAAGAAATTAATATATATATTTTTTTAATGAAAAGTCTTTAACGATATCTACAGAGTCAATAAAGACGTCTTTCTTAAAAGCTGTTTTCGATGTACAGCATGGAACTCACAAGTTATATTATGTAAAAATTGTTGACAATTTAAATAGATCATATTGTTACCTACAATACATTGAACACTGTAGTCCATTGTATTCAGTTTTAATGACAACTTTAGTGTTTGTACTAAGTGGTGTAATAAAATCGTCTGATTTTTTTTAGAATACCAAGTGACATAACGGAACAAACAAGTCGTGCGCCCGGTGGTAAGCGACTCGCCTGTCCATAGCAGTTTCAGTACCACTCAGAACTTGAAGACGCAAAGATCTGAGAGGCACTGCCATTGCGCCCGTCACCTTGAGACAAGTTGACAGATATCATGTGCAATTTCACCAAATGTGTTCAACGATGATATGTAATGGTAGCACCTTGTGAAAGAGTTCGTCCAAGTAAATAAAAAAATGACTACCTTACCTATTTCTGCTGCTAAGCAAGTAATTCGCCTTTCGGTTTTGAAGGGTAAATGTGCTGGTGAAATTACAGGCATATGAGGCTTATAACTTATGTCTGAGTGACGGATGCAGTGGTAGGCCCTGTAGATCTTTGTGATTTAAAGCTCTGCTGGCACTGCAACTGTAATGGACAGGCTTCGTCGCGTACCACCAGCCTTATTCGACTCGAATCAAGTGTTTTTATTAAAAACATATTAAATTCTATTTTATTGAAGTAAAAATTTGTGCTTAAAATTCTTTCATGTAGCTTAATAGTATTGTATTTTTAAATGTGCGCAATGTTAGATTGACTATATTGCTTAAATACTTAAATAGAAAATGGACAAGAAAAGAAAGAAATGGCCAAATTATTGTGTGTGAACATGACAATGAAGATCTCTCTCAAACTATTATTGTTTTCAGGCTGCGTCGTCCCTCAGCGCTACGTCCTTGGTGTAATGGGTCTTTTAGGAGTATGTAATGCATACACAATGCGTGTATGCCTTAATATGGCAATCACACAGATGGTTAACAGGACCAAACCAGATGCACCACACGGGATGGATATATGTCCTAGTGATGATGAATTAAGTGGCAAGAATTCTACGCATCATGTTAATCCTGTGAGTATGATTACTTCTTTGAGTATAAATGTAAATAATAATTAGAACAAATAAAAAGTAGACTATATATAGAAACAAAGGCATATAATAAAAAAGTAACGAGGATGGTCACTTTCCTCCCCTTCCTACCTTTAGATACCACAGAGTACATACACCTCATATTGATGGTCACATTGACGGAACGGCAACAAAGCTAACAGCGAGCCGTTCGCGTTTATAAACAGTTTGAATGTATTTAAATACGAACGTACGTTACGGCTGTTTTATCTTCATCAAAATGGGAGAAAGAGACGAGTTTCAAAACTTTATTACAAAAATGTCGAATTTTCAATATAATACGATTTCATAACAATTTATTTAGAGATAATACATTTAAAATATTTTATTGTATTAATTTATAGCAATGTTATACACTTATTATGTTAAGTCTTTTCTTTTAGATTCTTGACTCAGGTATAATTTACTGTTGTTTAGTATTTTATAAATAAAATCATTAATATACGTAATGATCACATTATTTACAAAGGTATACAATACATTCACTTGCTCTTACAAAGGCACTGTGCACGTTAAATCAGATAATAAAATAGTACATAAAAAGTGATGGGTAACCCTACCACTTCAAGCACATATTTGCGCGTATGCAGACAGTCCCTTGCTGTACGTAGTAGGAGTAGGTAAATAAGTTTCTACTGTTATCCCTATCTACCGACTCGAGAGGTAGGCTTTTTCGGAGATACTACGGGCTCGACGGCAAGACTACGGCACGGCGGGCCTCCGGGTCAAGCCCTCCGCCAGTGATACGCCTTTACGGGCGTCTCTGGCAGGCCTGGACTCGGGTAAGGACTCGCTGGAGTTTGTGGTTAGATGCAGAGACGGACATGTTTGTCTGTGTGCCGGGGCGTCTGTCTCGTGAGCAGCTAGCGCGTCTTAGTAGCGGTCTAGTTGAGGACCTGTATGCGAGGAGACGCACGGGACACCTGAGTTGCCCTTTATGTTAGAAGCTATGTCTGGACATTGTCGCAGGACACTGCGACTGGCATCTCCGGCACTAGCCCGGAGAGCTAGTAGAGGATAAGCTAGATATCCTCCAGTCCCTCCAGCCGCTTAGGTTATTGAGAACTGGAGAGACGTCGTTTTTTGGCGTCGGGATGTGAGCGTGGCTTACAGCTCCGCCACCAATGAGGAGATTTGGTAGTGGACTCAGAGTCGACGGCTTAGCAGTGGCCACTGCTAGTTGTGAAATGCGCAACGGGAAGTGAGCGTGCCTACAGCTCCGGTACCTATCTGGAAAATAGGGAGGGTACTGTACGTGCACCCGGGGCGGCTCACCCGACGCACTGGCCTTTCGAAGAACCGGATGAAGTCAAGTGGCAGAGGTCGATGACAACCCTGTGCATTGGCTGATCTGGGGTCAGAACCTGAACTTGTAAGGTTCCTGTGCGCGCACAGGTTATAGTGTCCTGCTCGTATGTCCTAAGGGTAGGTAGGGAGGGTCACTATAATCAAAAAACTAACGTTTCCCCGGTTTCTCACTAGGGAATTCTCTGTACTATGAGTACCAGAGCAACGAAATTCACTATGAGGTACTACCCAAAACACCCAGACGGTGAATTGGACCTCCTCATCCAACACCCACATTATAAACCATTGGGCCACCGACGTTTAAGTAGATAATTTATACTTAAATAGAAGAGTCATGAGCATTATATCTAAATAATGCCTATTAACTTTTGCTGAAAAGGCCCAAATTATAACGTTCAGGGAATAAGTCTGCAGGCAGGGAATTCCACTCCATAGCCGTTCGTCATATGAATGTGGAAGTGTAACGCTTCGTTTGAATCCTTGGAATATTTACAACATATAGCTGGAACCCAAGCCTACGTCTAGTCCTCCGAAGATGGAAACGGCGATTAAATCGTGCAATTCCATCGCACATTCTCTGTGACATATCCTGTAGAATACCGAATATTATACCAAACGAGCCCTATAGAGGGGCTCTATAAATAACGAGCCCTATACTCCACCTACGGTGAGGTCGGGCTCGGCCTGCGGCGCGTGGTCGTTTTCAGATTACGGGGTGTGCTTATGCTCTTCGGTGGCACAGTGATTAGTACTATGGGCGCTTGATGAGGAGGATCCATATTCTTGTTTGAGCCAATGAAAAAATATTTTTAAGTTGGTCATGGTCAGGGTATTCTGGGTATTGCCTTCAGAATTATCGTTACTCTGGTACTCATAGTTTGGGACCAGAAATTTGAAGTCATTGTCTAACTAGAATCTACTTATAACAGAGAGACGGTCGAGATACAACATCGCTATAAGTTGTATAAAGATATTATCTCCACTATATCGGGAAGTATGCCTTACATTTTGAACAATTGTGAAATCTAGTCCCAGTATACTACCTACGTAAGGTGGCGTGCGGACGCTTCGATACTATGACTTTAAAAAAATTAACATAGCTCTTTAATGGCGGCCGTATTGGTAAATGGAAAAAAGTTAATTTTGATTGCAAATTATTATTAAACACCCATAGGCTCCCCCACATGCCGATTTTCAATCGAATTAGAGCAAATTTTCATCTGCCGCCAAAAAACACTCTATGGCAGCCATATTGAAAAATGGCGAAGAACAAACTTTGATAACAAATTATTATCAAACACCCCCATATGCCAATTTTCAAATGGATCAGCAACTTTTTTGCTACCGCCAACGAACGCTTATATGACGGCCATATTTGAAAATGGCGAAAAACAAATTTTGAGCACAAATTATTATCTTATATTATTATCTATATTATTTCTAGTGGCCTGCACATGCCAATTTTCAATCGAATCAGAGCAAATCTTTTTCGGCAGCTATTTTTAACGAAAAAAAAAAACACTTATATGGCAGCCATATAAAAAAATGGCGAAAAGAAATTTTTGACCCCAAATTATGATTAAAGACTCCTAAAGACCCTGCCAATTTTTAGCCAGATCGAAGCAAGTTTTTCTTTCGCCGCCATTTTGAAATCGCCATCTTGAATTTTTTTTAACCCAGGCAGTTGGCCAATGTTACCCTCTATGACATTCCTTCAAACACCTGCTACCTATCTCTAATAGTTTCCGTGATAGGAGGCTTTGAAGTTTGTATGGCGGCCATCTTGTTTATTTGAATTTCGAACATTTACTTCCCGCGGAATTTGACCAGAGTGTATCTCATAAGAATGCACAAAAATTCCCTCCATGTATTATAGGTTTTGCAGGCCGTTGATCACTGGTTTACATTTTCCACATTCAGGTCTTTTCATATTTGGTTCTTTGCCTTGGAGCCTATCCGCGTACAACGGTGTAAATACCTTTTTTGTACCATATCGGGAAGTACGCGTTCTATTTTTCTAAGTGAGTCTAAACTTGTAGCTTTATATGTATAATGGTACGATATGTACGTACAAAAGATAATTCTGATTAAAAGAAGAATTTAAAGAGAAACTGTCTTCTACTTCTACTTCTGTTCTCTACATTACTGTGTACCGTTAGCATAAAAACAGTGAATAAACTCTTTCATTTAACCTTATTTAAATGTGATACTTACTCATATTTATTGTCAGTAAAACCGCATTTACTTATAATTAACTTGAACTTACAAATAATGACATACATTGTACATAACTCACAATTAGCAATAAATAGCAGGATTTATGCACATATAACAAAGTTAATCATTTAAAAAACAACATTTATTACTAACTCTAACATTATAGAAATAAGGTCTATAGCACACTAGATAGAAAAGTGAGTACATTTATGAGTTACGATAACATGACAGTTTAATTAATGTCCTACCTCAATGAGAATATTGTAACAAAATGGTAGAGCGCAGTAATTGGTCTGACCGTACGGATGAAACAATGGGAACACATGTTTTTCGGAGTGACCATGACACAATTTAATGAACTAAGTGACATTTTATAGTTCTTAATCTAAACGCCTCTAATACAATAATAAATACGTTGCTGGCATGTCAATCTTCATGAAGAAACAATTAAAAATTTGGTTTTACTTGAAAGAACAATGAGATCACAAACTGTAACTACGAGTATTACTCACATATGAATATGTGACTTTGTTATATTATATCCTATCGTTCTCTCGTTGCTTGTTCATTGTAAAGTAAAATGACGTACAATATGTCAAAACTATAGAGATAATTCTGTGATACAAAAAGAGCAGTAAAACGTCAATTAAAGTAAACAAAACGAAAAAAAAAACACCAGTAAATACATATTACATTCCAAGAGTAAATACAACAAATGCTCTATTTGTAGAAGTGCATTTTATTTAAAGAACATTTGTTATGAAATGCCGTAGTAGTATAATGGTTTCACCTACCGCCTCTTAAGCAGAGGCCGTGGATTCGAATCCGTGTTCGCAGTTCTGAGTTTTTCGGAATTTATGTGCGAAAAATTATTTCGAAATTTACCATGAACTTTTCGGCGAAGGAAAACATCGCGAAGAAACCTGCACGTCCAATCCGCATTGGATCAGTTTGGCGGACGATGGCCTAACCCCTAGCCAGAGAGGTGACCCATGCTCAGCAGTGGGATGTATAAATGAAATGTTAAATCGTCTGTATTCTAGGTTAAATAAACCAAGTGTACAACATGAAAATTGTAAGATATAGGCAGGAAAATGTTCTACAATTGTTTAGTCCAAAATGATAGCCTGATAATATAATTGAACATGTTTGTTTTCAATTTGTAAATATACGCGTTATTTAAAATTCAAAGAACATGCGGGTGGTTTCGCTGAAACTTTGGGACTAAACTTTGTCTGGGATTTTTTTTAAATGCCCTTTCTTTTATGTAGTTTATTCGGAAGCCTTAGTCACGTTAGAATCGCCTCCTCTTGATATTAAGTATAAATATTAGACAACATCATATTATGGAAATCAGAAACAACGACCAAAGATACTCAGAATCGAGACAATATAGAAAAAGTTAGTTTTTATACATTGTCTCCATCGGTGATCGAAGCCGGGACCTCATAGATGGCGATTCCATGAAAATCGGTGTACAAGACACGACCACAGAGATCGTCACAATCTTTTTTTATATTATTATGATGTGAAAAAACCTTCTTTGTTTAATTTTCAGAACGCAATATTCGACTGGGACGAACAAACACAAGGTCTTATCCTCGGCGCTTTCTACTACGGCTACGCGGCAACACAAGTTCTTGGTGCTTACTTAGCAGAGAAATATGGGGGCAAATGGACTCTTGGTATTGGTCTTCTCAGTACTGCCCTCTTTACATTCATTACACCGAAAGTTATCAGAGCAGGTGGAGCTGTTTGGTTGTTCGTACTACGAGTTATGGCTGGAATGGGTGAGGTAAGCGCTTTCATAATGAAGTGGCCAGAAAGAACTATTTTATCAAATGCTTGGACTGAATTTGGCAATAGTGTAGAAGTTACTTATTGCACTGGGTCAATAATAATCAATAATAATGTGCCAGACAAACATATGAAATATCTGGTATGAAATGAAGGACTGCTCTGTACTAACCATATCGCACTTTAACGACCAAACCAGGACCATTTTAGAAAAATAATTTCTAAATATAATAATAAAACATAATATAATAAATAAAAGAGAATTGAATCCGGGACTTCCTCGGTCATTCTCGGAGTGTTCTCAACCTAGACAATTTCCGAGACAATTTTTATTATTTAAATATTCAAGTATATTAATGTAGTTTTTAAATAATATTTCACGTAAATTACTTGAATATTAAAAAATTATTTCCATAAAAAAATCGAATAATAAATCTTGCCACGGAAATTAGGTAGTGAACACAAGTCCGAGAATGACCGTCCTCGTCTAGCGTCCACAAAGCAAACTGTTTTGCAACTGAGGTCATCAAAATACAAAATACTCCTTGTTGCAAACAAAAATAAAATACACAGACAAAAATTGCAAAAGACACGATACAACAAGATTTGTAACTGTGATCAAAAGTCGCCTTCAAATTAGACGCTGTAAATTGTAAAGCGCTGCAGTGCGCCACGTCTAATTTTCATACAATATTTAGTCTGCGAAAGTGGCGCGCTTATGACGCGACTGTGGCGCTGCAGCTGTGCTTCTAAATATTGTACGAAAATTAGAGTGACGCGGCTGTAGCACCATTGTGGCGCCAATGTAACACTTCTTGCTATAAGCGTCTAATTTGAAGGCGCCTCAAGAAGTTGAGAAACTTACTAAAAACTTACGCGTTAACTTACTAAATATAAACCTTAATAATACAATTTAGGCGCAATTTATAAAAACGAATCTTCATGCGTGAACAGCCACCCTCTGAGGTGGATTATTTTCTTCAAAATTAAATGGGGCCACTATGGAGATACCCTCTTTCCAACAAAAAAAGAATCATGAAAATCGATTCACAAATACCGGAGTTATCGCGTAACATACATACAAAAAAAAACAGTCAAATTGAGAACCTCCTCCTTTTTTTGAAGTCGGTTAAAAAATATATTATAAAATAAAGAATTTCAAATTCAAACAAATAAATCCGGACACTCGTTCAAGTTATTTATATAGATTTATTAGTGGTATCTTTATGCCATGTTACACTTACATTTTGGTGCACCAAGACGCGCTAGAATCTTGAAAGAGGATTTCGTCTGTTTATAAGTAAAACCAGATAATTGACATTTCCCACAAAGTCTTTAATTTATATAGCTATGATAAGAAAATAACAATCTATCTGCAGTTGAAACTCAATAACAAAAAAGCTATAAACTCCATAACAGTTTTATCTGCAGAAAGACGGTGATTTTCTTACAACAAGTATATAACTTGGAGATTTTTTTTTGTGGAAAAGGTCACTTATTTGTTATTGGTACATCTGGTAACTGCTAATAATAACTATGTATTAAATAGTTTTCAATTTGTACACCAGTAAAAAATTTCATGCAAATCTGTTTAGTATAAAAACGTATAATTACTACTTAGGACTAAGTTACCGCGAATATTTACATTGTAAAAAATTTTGCTTATTGTATCAATTTCAGGGTCCTACTATGCCAGCTCTGATGATCATGCTGGCGCGGTGGGTTCCTCCACATGAACGGGCAGTGCAAGGAGCTTTGGTTTTCGGTGGAGCTCAAATTGGGAACATATTTGGGTCGTTCATGTCCGGTATCTTACTGGCAGACGACAGAGATTGGGCAAATGTCTTCTACTTCTTTGGTGGCTTCGGATTGCTATGGTTCGCATTATGGGTAAGAAGATTCTGTAACTACATATTTTCATTTGCTAGATTACGTTTTCTTCTCTTATGGTATCTTCAACGCCGACGATTAGAACTTGAAATGAAATAATTTTATTTGCAAACAAACAATCAGATATGATAAAAATGGTCAAGCGTGTTGTGCCATGTTTGCCATAAGAAAACTTTAGACTTCCATTTTATTGTCATAGCGTTGTAACAATTTCATATAAGAAGACATTCATTAGAGTAGCAAAATTATTGCAACCCTAATGAGTGGTTGCAGCATTAGATTTGTGTAACTGTATTATTACAATGACATTGGATTTATATCGTATATCAAATTTCAAATCGATCGGATCTGTGGAAGTAAAATAAATATTCATTGTATGCAAAAAAGGCAAAAAAGTCGATAAAACCCAAAAAAAATTTTAATTCATTTTTTGTTATTCTATTTTATTTTTGTTTTAATTTAGCTTTATCTTTTTTTTATTTCTTACTGTGTATTATTGTGTCGTGGCAATTTGTAATAAATGGTTTCTATTCTATTCTATACTATTCAAAAACAAAGATCTGCAATAAGCACATAGAAAAATTCGTAAGGTCTGCTAGTTCGTTCCGTGGCTTATTTGGCATAGCGTCTGGCACGGTTTGCTGGAAGACGTTGGTTCGAATCCAGCGGATTGAAGGAATTTTTTTCTAAGTGATCGAACTTATTAATAATTTTTCTTTCTATAATTTAGATAATTATACTTCTGCTTATCATATCGATGGCATATACCACATGCAATGCTTGCCATTGTGGTGAAAGGGTTTGCCAATCGGCGTAAGTTACTTGCAGATTGTTAATCTGGGTGTGTCAGATGTAAAGGAAACGAATGGTACGTAGTCGTGCGGGGAGACTTTTTTTGTGCACCTCCTACATTAACTAATCGTAAAACATAAACCATCCCGATTAAATTAGCCTTCCAATATAAAAAAAAAACTGCTCCAGCCGTTTGCGAGCTATGATGCTACAGACAGGCCACAACCTCAAAATTCGCCTGTAAAAGAAGAGTTAAGAAGTACTTTGCACATATTATTGTAATGTTTTCATAGTAGACACAGAAATGAGTCTCCAGTGACTGTTATAAACTATATTATAAGATTTTTTTCACTATAAATACAAACAAAACAAAACCACGCCGTTTCGCGTCAAATATGGTTTTCGCAATGGCGGCCGCCCGCGCCCATTAGCGTTCCGTTGACACGATGATGATGATATCAATTTATTTCTTATTTCGATAAAACTAATTCTTGCAAAGTAAGTTTTCTAATGAAATAAATTAATGTTTCTCTAACATTATTATGAAATTTTTACGTTAGGTGCAAAATTTAGTACTTGGTATTTGTATCTTTTATAATTTTGATATTTGGCATTAAACTTAACCTGTAATGATGTCTATTAAGACATCGTTACAGGTTACTATATAACTTGTATAATCCTATTCTGTTCTATTATATTTCTAGCGTTTAATTGAAATATAATAAAAAAGCAACAAATGACAACAACAATACGTACACAAATATTTGTAATAACTAAGTGACGGGACACGGAACAAGTCGTGCGTTTGATGGTAAGCGACACGACTGTCCATAGCAGTTGCAGTACCACTCACCAGTACACGTACGCTTCAAAACCGGAGCGAAGTAATGCTAACATTACTGCTTGGCGGCAGTAATAGGTGAGGTGGCAGTACTTCCCTAGACGAACTCTTTCACAAGGAGCTGTACTGCTACGAAAACATTGGCGATAGCGCTTACTTATTGGATGCTTGTACAAAAATTAACACCTATAGTTTTGTTATTTAAATTCTCAATTTAATATTAAAATACCATAATGTTATTTTCACACTTCTCATGAGCTAATTTAATTGACACACAACTGTTTACATGAACTAACATGCATTTTGCATTTTACTTAAGGTCTTGTATAAATATAAACACTTTCACCCTTGTCTGAGATAGATAGGGACTATTGACCTCTAGTTGCGAATATACTTCTTTAGCTCTCTTCACCTGCAACGGTTTTTCATACAAGCTCGTTTATTCTTGTTAAGTTAGATCTGCTGTTTTTATATAAAGATCGAACAAGCACAAAGAAAAATTCGTTCGATGCGATCCGATCCGATCTTGTTATAACCACGATGAGGCAACCGACACTGGTTCATGTCTAGTCGGATCAAGCGCCATACCTTTTCTGCCACCCAGCAGTAATGTGAGCATTATTACGTTCCGATTTTGAAGGGCAAGGGTACTGGTGTAATTACAGGCATACCTAAGGAATTTGTCTACTTATCTCTCAGGATGACGGATACAGTGGCTAGCCCCTCTGTACTTTGCGATTTAAAGCTTTTACTAGAACTGCAACTATGATGAATATGCGTGTCGCTTATCACAACTTGGACGTTCTGTCACTTGGTATCATAAAAAAATGGTGACTTCAGTTCACTCGTGGTTATCATTACCATCAACTTTGCCCGCTGAAAGAAAGAAGATAGAAAGAAAAATTGTATATCCTGTAAAAGAATTATAGCATAACATACACACATTTTATGATTAGACAAATAATTGGACTAAGTAACTAAAATAAATTATGTAACAAAAATGGCACTATAGAGCGTGCGCTGTGCTATTACGAATCCGTCATTGACTCAGTTCATTATCATTCACTCAAAGTGCTACGGTGATGATTTTCAGTGAATCCGGTGACATCACGTAAATGTAGTCCTCCCTTACCTTGTCCCATGTACGACGATTCTGAGTTCAGAGTGATTACTGCCAGCGACATCATCGATATTGTCAGTTTAGTCAACGGACATTTTTCTTTCATTTATTTTGTTTTTGATTTCCGTTGCAGAGTCTTCTTTGCTACAGTACACCAAACACACACCCGTATATCAGTAAGAAGGAATTAAATTATTTGAATGCAAACGTCACTTCAGCTGACAACCAGGGAATTAAAGATCCAGTGCCTTGGAGGGCTATTTTAACATCTGCACCTGTTTGGGCTTTAGTTTGGGCCGCTGTAAGTTGCGTTTCGTTTTTTACAATAGTTGTAATTGTCCGGACTGGAAATCCGCGTTTGGCATTTTGTCGTTGACTGGATACCCAAATAATGTGATAACAATATGTATAAATTTTTAACTTCTGTTTCTTCTTATTGTATCGATAGCATACATTATAATACGGAGTTCTTAGGTTTTCGCGATTGATACACATAGAAAATGAAACAATTTTTTCCGATCTAAATCGCGTTTTTTGTTAATTAACCAACGTTTAGAGCCCTTTACTGGTCTCTGGTCACGGCTCACAGGCAATGTCTAGCACATAGCAAAAAAGTTTCATTTTCTATACACTATAATGCTTGCCATCGCGGTGTAAGGATTTGTCAATCGGTGTAAGGTACTTGTTGATTGTTGACGTACAGCCCCGTATCTTTCCATATTCGTTTTAGATTATAGTAACCCTCCCTACCGACCTTTAGAGACCTATACGAGAAGGGCACTATAATCAGTGCGTGCACTAAAACCTTCTAAATTCAAGTCCTGACCCCAGATCAGCCAGTGTACAGGGTTGTTGACGTGCAGGAAAGGAATGGTACGTCGTGCGGGAAGACTCCTTTCGTGCACCCCTACCACCTAGCCCTACTTTTTATCTAGTAGTCACATAAGGCCATGCAATGTCAAAATCAAAACAAAACTTTTTATTGCGTTGAGAAATAAACATGAGGATCCTTTGGGTCGAAAAGTACGAGCTAACTTGTACATGAAGTCAATTGCACATATACAATAGTTTTTTGGATCGCACTTATTATAAATCAGTTAGAGTTGAATTTAAAAAGCTGAGCGCGCATAACTAAATACTTGAATATATGGAGCTATGCGTAAACAACGTAAAGCAAACATTCTGAACGTCAAAGAACAAAGCATGCTAACGATGTTCTACAAAGTTCTATGAACTTGGACGCGGAAGTATTGCATAATTACTATGTTAACCATGACGATGACCTTGACTTTGTAAAATATTTAACTCTACTTAAGTTTATGCACGCTTGGTGTTCGATTAAGGTCGTTTTGGAGTTGCTTTTGTACATCGATTAAAATTATGTAGGACACAAAGTATTCATTTTTATACGTTAAGCCATATTCCATAATTTGTTTTTTCATTCAAATTGAACGCTCAGGGGATCGCACAAACTATAAAAGATTTTCCTTCATCAATTATTACATAAAGTGCGCAGGCGTAACTTATTCTCATTTTGTCGATGGATTTAATTTATTGCGATTATCCGTTCATAAATATCTCACTGAAGGACTCGAACCATTATCGTTCACAAACGACTTGGGAAACTTACGTAACATACCCTTCAAATTTATGTTTTATCTGTAAAACGTTAATATCAATGTGATTTGTTCCATATAGGTTGGTCACGACTGGGGTTACTACGCTATGGTTACTGATCTTCCAAAGTATTCACACGACGTTCTCAAATTTAACATTCAGACCACTGGTACCCTCACCTCTTTGCCGTATATTGCCATGTGGGTTGCCTCTTTCATATTTGGAATCGTATGCGACATTTGCGTTAAAAAAGGATGGCATACCATCAAGACTGGAAGAATTATTCATACTACTATTGGTATGTAACAATGATCATACTCGGACGTTGAAATCAATATTATCATTAAACTCAAATATCGCTTTTCCAAATTTAACGGTATTTTCTAAAACTTAATCGTCATTTCCTTTAAGTTGGCTTTTTGTTTTGTGATGGTATTGGTTTCAATGAAAGTTTTAAATTGTCCGTTATCCAAGATTACTTGGATGTAGACTATGATTACATGGTTGCTGTAGGTCATGCTGTCTCTATTTTGGTACTGATGGTATTAAGTAACTTTATTGCGTTACTTCACTTTATTAAGTTTTCCCTTAAGATTAGATTACACGTTTGCAGAAAGCTCTCAACGATACTTTTTCTTTACAAACTCTTGAAAATATTTGAATTTTTACCGACGCACGGCGAGCAGTCCATTCAAAGTGCACAATTTCGAGAGAAAATTATTCGGCGTTCCTTAACCTAATAAAAATACATTTCTGCAGGTCGTGACAAAGCCTTAATTTTGACAATTTACCTAAGATAATTAGAGGTCTAAGGTCACTATGTTGTCTAGGAGAAAATTATTAAATTGGAAAATTTTGCACGCGTAAATATGTAGAACTGGCAAAAAAGAAAAAGGATAATTAGAAAGATAATTGCGCTTCTTTTAATTATTGAAATTGATCCGTTTTAAATATTTTCAGCTGCTACCGGACCGGCCATCTGCATTATTCTGGCATCATACGTAGGTTGCGATAGAAATGCGGCAATGGCGTACTTTGTGCTGTCAATGGCTCTTATGGGAGGTTTCTACAGTGGAATGAAGGTGGACACACAATTTTTAATTTATCTGTTAATTTTAAAATATATATTTTATTTAGCTTTCAACATTACGTAACGTTTATCCATGCGTTGTAATTCAAAACGACTTGTTTCAGCGAAATTCACAATACCTTGTTTTGAAAATCTTACGTTTAACAGAATAGGAGAAATAATAAAACAGTACAGAGTACTAAAAAAACCTACCTCAAAAGTCGTCATTCGTCCCCTAGTTTGCCACTCTTTGAGGTGTAATATTTTCTTCATATTTAAATGAGACTACATCTGAGGTACTCTCCTTCCAACAAAAAAAGTATCATCAAAATCGGAGTTATCGCGTAAAATGTATAAAAAAACATACAGTCGAATTCAGAACTTCCTCCTTGTTTGAAGTCGGTTAAAAGCAAACGAAAATAATGCTAAACTTGTGTTAATTACAATATTTGTTTATTGAATATTACCATGTTTTGATACTCCACAGTTACTTATTATTATTGATACAGAGATCGAACAAAAGGAAAATGCCTTCTTTCTGACTGAACTCGAACCAGCGTCTGTTGCCATGCCGTTGCCATCACTCTTAACCAACTAATCGGTTCAGCTAATCTTTTAAATTTAAAAAATTCTCTGTGTTTGTTCCGGATCTTTGTATTGAGTTTATACGGCATATTTGCCTTCAGTTTATGGTAATTTGTTTTCATTTACAATATAATAAAAATAAATAATAAAATAAGTAAATAGAGGTAGATGGCAGGTAGCTATGGAAAGCAGAAAAAGCCACGGCTACACCGCTGAACCAATATTGATGGATTTTGCTATAGAGATAGAAGGGAGAAGGACATAGGCATCTTTTTGTCACAAAAATACGTCTTTAAGGGTGTGAAATAGGGGATGAAAGTTTGTACGGAGAAACAATAAAACTATGAAAATTGTAGGTTGCTCGAAGTATATAAGAATAATAATAAGTATAGAAGAATAATAAGTGTATTATTACAGCTAATAAAAAATAAAAACAAATGAACATTTCTTCATAGAGGAAGTATTTTTTTTTCTTTTCTTAGTAAGTTTTATACTGTAGATGTTTATGTTGCCATGGATTCATTTCAGGTGAACGCACTAGATCTTGCACCAAATTATGCCGCCTCATTGACATCTCTTGTTAATACAACGTCCACACTCATCGCCGGCATCGGTGTACCCTACATTATTGGGTATTTAACACCTAATGTAAGTATGACCAAGCTATTTTCAACCTTTAGTGTTGGTAGTGAATAATTTCAAATTTGAAATCTCGATTCATTTAGTTTTCTTTGTTTATTTCTTTTAATGTAATTTTGTAACTGTTCGTATCGTCGAATTGCAAGTCTTTGATATTACACAACCATCATCAAAAACCCTGATTTTGCTTCTCAATTAAGTAGTGGTCAACAGTGAGTTCATTTACTTCGAAAAATGAATAAATGAATTTTTATCGTTTTTCATATCAAATGGAATTTTGTCATATTAGCTAAATGGCATATATCTTTGTTACTACTTACGTCATTTTTTAAATATGTTTTGTCAGTTTCTCGGGTATTGTACTTTTCGTCCTGAGTTCTCAGGTTTTCACGATTGCTACATAATATTGGAAATAAGATTATTTTTCGGATCTAAATAAGTGTATATTTGCTTTTTTCATATTAAATTCGTTTACCAGTAAAGAGCTCGAAAAAAAAAGAACCAGAACCAGTTCTATGATCACGGCTGTTTGCGAGTCAGTGACAAAGAAAATTCATTTTCAATTTACTTGACATCTTTATTATTGAGGATACGAAATGATTTTTATATTTTCATTAACGTCCGATCTGAATATTGATTTCAGCAAACCTTAGTGGAATGGCGAGTAGCATTCTGGGTATGCTTCGCTGTCCTTGTTGGCACAAATATTATCTACATCATATGGGCGGACGGTGAACAGCAATGGTGGGACGACGTCAGAAAATATGGACACCCACCCGGTTGGAAACATAAACCTCTCATCCCTTGGCAAGAAAAAAAAGAAGAGACAATAAATCTTAATGATGAGAAGGATAGAGATAAAGAGTGATCTTTCCAACATTCATAATAATGTAAAACTAGAAGGCAATTGGTAACGAAGATATTGAGAGGTTCCTCAAGGAACCATGTCGAGACCAACATTATTTAACAGTGATTTGATTTGGGACGGAAACGCAAACTGTTGTAAAATCGTTGTTAACGTTATTTTTATTGGTTATAGTTGGATGTATTCTAGCTTTTTGTTTGTATGTTAATGAGACATGGTCTTTTTGTATTCAACTTTTATTAATACGAATATACTCTTTCATTTAGGATTGCATGTGTAAAATAAGTTGTGATTGTCACTTATAATTATCTAGATTGATACCAGTGAGCCTAGTCAGTCTTAAATAGCAGCATAAAAAAAACAGTACAAAATAGTGCCTTGAAATAATGCCAGTTGTTACTTACTGTTCTTATATATAAAAGAACTAGTGATAATGATTGTATTGTAAGTATTTAGTTACATAAAAATAAACAAAAGCAAACTGAAAAAGGTTCTGTTTTTTGGCGTCTACTATAAATACTCTATTTCAATTATTTACAGTTTGTTATGACTTGGTATTGACTTTCCTAATGTCGTTTATCAAGAAACGAAGATATTAAATCTTAAGGCGGCCTCATACGGTATGTTATTTTACAGATTTTCTCTACAGTCAATGACCACCTAATAGCGGAGGCGACTGCTATTCCTTGGTGCGCAGTATGAAGCGTCATTCGTATCATGCTTCTTTTAATTTGTCGAGTATTATTTGTTTGACAGTAATTGTTTCGGACGAAGAACGGGGGTATACCCCCTGGCTTATGCGAGGTGAGCGTTAAAATTCTGCGGAAGCAGCAATGTTAAAATTCTGATCGAAATGACATTGTATGACATAGCTGACGAGAAAAACTAGAAATAATATAAGCATATATTTATTAAGAAGTTTATTTAAGTAAATATGTATGCATAGTAAATAAAATCAGTATATGCACACGTGAAAAACGTTGTCGCATTAATCTATTTGCCTTTGCTCGCTTGAGTGCTCTTATCATCTATCTAATTAATTAGCATATTTGTATGTCAGTCAACGAAATATTTAATTATTTCTAACGCTGTAAATTGATCAAGTGAGAGTTTACAATGTCAAGGGCTTAATTCAAAACATTTTTATGTTAATGTGTTACAAGCACATTTTATGATTTTATTTTCGTCCTAGACAAAAAAGTACCTAATGTGCTGATTTAAGTTTAAAAAAATGTCTTTTATATTTCAGAATGTTAACAATATCGCGATGAATTATTCTAACTTCAGAAACTAAGCCATTTTAATGTATAACAACTTTTTTCCAACACCACCAAAACTGTAGTAGGCATTTAATTTAAATCCATTCAATTGTTTCAACACTGCATAGAACTAGAATAGCTTTGTATATTAGGTCGCGCAATCATTTCAGATTTGTGACGTCATTGTGGGGTCTGGGACAATGATCAGTATCATTTTCAAAATATTGTAACGGTCTTACTTTAGTGTGTCATAATATTTGTGCGATGGAATGCAAAAGTCACATTATCATATCATCTGCATCTATTAAAATAACGAAAAATAGATCAACAGCGAGTAGAACATGGTCACCGAGGGTTCCTTACATGAACTATAGAATACTTACTCTTATATTGTATGAACATTTATATACAAAACTAATTTGCAATCTGAATTTATTATAGCACCTTGTGAAAAAGTTCATCCAGGGAAGTACTGCTGCCTTACCTATTTCGGCCGCCAAACAGTAATGTGAGCATTTTTTAATACAATATCAAGTGACGGGACGAACAAGTCGTGCGTGATGGTAGGCGTACCTGTTGAAGTTGCATTGCCACTCAGACCTTTAAATCGCAAATATCTGAGGCGCATTGCCACAGTGCCCATCACCCTGAGACATAAGTTGACAAGTCCCATGTGCTTGTAATTTCACCAGCACCCTTACCCTTCAAAAC